CTATTCTACTATATTGCTAGTTTATGTATTTTATGCATTTTCGGACAGGGTACCAATATGCTTTCACATCTTCTTAATGTACGGCATCCTACAGCAAAGCAGGCAGTCATCACGGCCATTGATTTACTAGGTTTATAAGTTTATTTTATTCATAATGCGCTCGCTATAGTTTTCTTGTGGATCAAAATAATTTCCTATTTCTGTAACTTGGTTTCTCAAATGCCCTTTTCTAATGTTTTGCATAGTAGACTTTATTCGTTCTTATTTCTATTTCCGTATTTCGTTCATATTGGTAACTGCATGTAACTTAATAAGGGTTGGTGGGAAACAACACAATAAATTTAAGAGGTCCCATACGATGTAGCAGAATGCAGAATTGTTTTTTGATTTTAACCTTTTGATGTAGGTATATTTAGGGGGTGGTTGGCTACATATTAAAACCGGTTATGACTGACCAGATAATTTTTTTACATCTTTCAACTAAAATCCAACTCAACTCTCTTCAATATTATCAATATAATTAAATTATATCAATCAATCACCATCACACATCACATCAACTTTAATTCACTATTTATCCACTCACATAATTCTAACTACCTATCATTTCCATAAAACCCTCTCCTACTTTTACATCACATCAACTTTCATCATCACATTTTAAATATTATTTAAATACAAACTCAAAATCCCACTCAATCCTTCACTCAATCAACTTTATTCAAAATAACTCACTTTAACTAATACATCCAATCAAAACCGGTTTTATTTATATCCAATCGCCCCCTTAATGCATCACAAAATTAGGGTGTTTTCTATCCATAAAGCATGCGATGTATGATACATGATGTAATTCATATTACATTTCAGTTGATTTATGAGGGTATGAAATGATATTGTTAATTCAGGTCAAGCTGTCATTGGCGCTGCTGAAAGTGGCACATCATTTCCGTTGAAAAGGAGAGATGTACTTCTTGACTACATATTGACTTTAATGGGTAGGGATGATGAAGATGGGT